AGATCATTTATTTCATTCCAGGATTTTAGGCACACGAATAACTTGACTCCCGTTGTAATTTCAGCGGAAAATCCTTAAAGTCGACCTCAGTTAAAAATATGCACTTGTTGTTGCTTCTGTATAGAGGAAATTTGTTCGGCAGAGGTTGCTTATCAACCCCCTAGATACTAAAGGGTTCTGACGATGGTGTATACCACAGAATTTCTGGCTTTTTGGACTTTTCCCATCGTCCGATATTCTAGAGAATAGAAAACATGACACACAGAGATATTGGGTTTTGGGACTTTATCCATCATCCTGGTTTTTTAAGATAAATAAGAAAAACACGACTGGATTGGTCCAGTGTTTGAGGCTAGCTCTTTCTAAGGGACCCAACAGAATAGGACCTCACCTGAGGACGGAAACAGATCCAGTTTCCGAAACGTCGTGTTTTTTTCTTAGTTATCTTAAAAACAAGGACGATGGATAAAGTCCGAAAACCCAATATCTCTGTGTGTTATACACCATCGTCAGAATCCTATAGTAACTACTAGAAAACATGACGTTTCGGTAATGGAGATTGACTCTTTCTAAGGGGCCCAACTGAGTAGGTGTCTTCTCCCCCATTCACCTGAAGACGGAAAGAGATCCAGTTTCCGAAACGTCGTGTTTTCTGTTCTCTAGAATTCTGGACGATGGAAAAACACCAAAAACCCATTGATTATGTGAGCCAACCCCTGCTTTTCTTCAACTGCCAACGGAATATCATAATGGTGATTGTCTGGTTCACCACCAACCGACAGACATACACACCTTCAGCTCAGTAGACACGTAAGAACAACTGTTGTCTTTATTGAAGGTGTTACCATGTAACTTGTTATGTTGACTGTCATGTGCAATTACACATGTCTTTCAGCCCCAACTTGACCAACTATGACAGAAGAGGATTGAATAGTCCGGTCTGCAGACACTCCAGAAATCTACATGCCTATTCCCCCACTCACATTCTCCGATGTTCCACACGCACTCGAACACAGCCGAATGTTGCTGTCAGTCACCTCCAATAAAGTCATTAGCGGGAAACACGAACCAAACGGTTCTTACCCTGGCTACACTGTCCGCACGGCGTCCTCACCCTACATGAGTGCCGTAAACAGCCTGTATTGCCGACTGATTCATAGGTACCCTTGCTCTACTTTCGCAATCATACCTGTAACTACCGAAAATTCTCGCATCTACTCGGCTACAAGCCGGAAGGTCGCGGGATCGAATCCCGATGAGGTCATTGGATGTTTTCATTGACCTAATCCTTCCAGCCGCACTATGGCCCTGGGATAGACTCAGCCTCTAACCGAAATGAGTACCAGTAATATTCTTGGGGGCAAAGGGCGGCCGGCTAGTAAGGCTGATAACTTTGCCTTCATCTGTGACCCGATTGTCTAGAAAATGTTGAAAGCCTCGGCGCCTCACAACCCTATGGGCCTTCAGGGGCTGTTACAAGGATAGCTTTACTTAAACTTACCGCCATCTGTGAGCCGATTGTCTAGAAAATGTTGAAAGCCTCGGCGCCTCACAACCCTATGGGCCTTCAGGGACTGTTACAGGGATAGCTTTACTTAACCTTACCGCCATCTGTGAGCCGATTGTCTAGCAAATGTTGAAAGCCTCGACGCCTCACAACCCTATGGGTCTTCAGGGACTGTTACAGGGATAGCTTTACGCTAATAGAAGTTAATGTCCCTCAACTTCATTAAGCACGAAGTGACGAGTACAAGTGATGAAGCTCCTCATTATGTAGTTCTCTCCATTCTCCTGTCACTTGCCCCCCCCCCTTGGGCCCTAATATTCCCGTCGGCTCCGTGTTCTCAGACACCCGTAGTCTGCCCTCCTCAGTGTGACAGTCGAGTTTCACGCCCATTCAGCGCGACATGAACAGGTTCACGCTTCGCGACTCCACGCTGGAGGAACGCATTCATCCGGCGAGCTTCGAAGTCTCGGCCGCCGAAGACGTGAAGAATACAAATCGCGGCTCTCTGATGTTGGCGCCTGCCCCTACACAACGCACCCCCTTGTTGTCCCGGCGCGCGCAGTAACACAACATCCCCACGTGTTTCTTGTCCATAGCGGATGAAATGAGCACATAAATTTGAAGGCATAAATGCCCTTTGGTGTATTTTCTGTGCTGCTCGAAGGATTTGTATAGGATTTGGTATGAGAAGTGTGAATGTTGTTCAGGGACTATCGTTTTAGACGATTTCGACAATAGTTAGAACTAATTAGATCCTCATTTTAATAATGAAGTAGAAAAGCGGTACAGTGCAGCAGTTGCCTGAAAGTATCTGCCTAGTAATGGCCTTCTGTTAGGTTGAGAATATTAGTGGATGTAACATTTGTAACAAGTGACACAGCATGACAAAAGTTTCCATGTTCAGGACTGACCCTACAAACTGAGTTGCTCAACAAGTTTCATTTTTGTTAGTATGAAATTGGAATCGAAATTTATAGATTTTATTTAAAAAAACAACTTGTAGTTCGAGAATTTCCGCGATCCTAAAATCTAGAATTTGATGCGGTCTCTAACTTCTATCTGAAGCGCTTTGCATGCTAAGCAGGCAGACACAGGCGCAAGAGCTTTCTCTCGTGTAACAGGATTTAAACTAAACGTTTGTTATGTAAACTTAACACAGATTGGAGTAAAAAAACGTAAAGCTATCCCTGTAACAAGCTGTGAAGGCCCATAGGGTTGTGAGACGTCGAGGCTCCCACATTTTCTAGACAATCGGCTCACAGATGGCGGTGAGGTTGTCATCCTTAAGCTCCGGCCAAGAAGATAGTCCTGGTACTCATTTCTGTTAGAGGCTGAGTCGACCCCGTGGCCACAGTGCGGCTGGTAGGATTAGGTCAATTGAAAAATACGATGACCTCATCGGGAATCGAACCCGCGACCATCAGGTTTGTAGCATAGTGCTGAACGGTTTGATGGTAGATAGATGATGAATTGTAATGGATCTGGAAGGGAGTCCATAGCGTGCTCGAAGTGTTATCTGAACAGTGAAGAACCACAGGCAGAGCAGCCGGTGTCGCGGTTACCGCTCTGCCAACCCGCTCGGCTGGTTACCGCTCTGGTTTGTGAGAAATGTGGAATTCTGGGTGGCCGCACTCAAGAGGTTAGTCGCTTGCTTCCCACCGCGACGGCCCTTCTTCAAACCCAGGTCTGGTCAAGTTGGATTTATGGTGGACAAAGTGGCACTGGGGCAGGTTTTGTCCGAGTACTTCGGTTTCACCTTCCAATCTTCATTTCACAAAATTCTCCATCATCATAATCACGCGGGGCAAGCTACAATAGGCCAATCAGTGGCCGACGTGCCGAGTGGACCCAGTTGGACTCCACCCCCCCACTAATATGGAATTCTGGGAAGAAGTTGATGTCAGTTTATGCGTGACAGGAAACCCAGAAAGCAGTCGCTGCTACCGTAGGGCCATACTGCAAGAAGCGCGTTACATGGACGCAGCAAGGGAGGAAAAGAAGATTTATTTGGAATTTATATAACGGCTGTCTCAGTAATTCACACTCTTCTGCTTCAAACGACTGCCTCAATGTGAGGTATATTGGGCAGGCTATCGCAGCGGTAACGGTTTAGACTCGTATTCTTGAGATTCTTACTTCGAGTACCGACTGGGACACCAGCTTTCTGCCAGGCAATTACCGGGATAGTACCCTGAATAGACCACGAGAATTTCCTTGCAAATCCCTTTCAATTCATCAGCCACCCTACCATCCGACGCTGTATGGTCTAGTTACGGGCGACGTCGTGAAGCGGGTGACCAAAATGAATAGAATGGATTGAAGATGGTGTGGAGGGAAGCGGTCGAGGCCTGACATACCAGGTTAACGTACTTTGAATATAATCTAAATATAATGTAAGTCTGAGGCTCGCAGGACTGGGGTGCGCGGATCTGGGCGGCGAAGGGGGAAGCACCTCGGTGTATAATTAGAACACAGTGGCTTGTGCCATGGGGGCCCACCGGAGTGCTCACAACGCCAAGCTGACTTTCTTAGAGTGTGACGCCGTGTCACCTGGTAGAAATTTACTGACGTTTCGGAGGAACATACTGCTGAGGTGTGCTTCTCATGCAGCCTCCCCGAATTAAATTAATCGCAACTAAACCCCTCTTCTGTAAAGCCCCCCAAATTGCGTTTCCAAGGTACACAGTTCACCGTTAATCATGAAACACAAATGTACCGCCGGCGACTGAAGCCATTGTCCTGAATTGTATTCATTCGAGACTCGCGGCTGTGGGTTCGAAAAATACCGTCTTCGTGGATATAACGCCATGTAGTCCGTTGAAAGTCAACTGACGTTTCGGAAGAACACATCGCCTCCATCTTCAGAGTTCTGTACCCGAAAATAGTACACTGCTTCTCATTGGTCTCGTGATTTTCCCTTCACGTCTCTCTGACAGTGCTCCATGAACTTAGACCCAACACGATTATTAGATTAGTGCGCAGTGCATTAGTGTTGCATGAAGATGGCCTTATATGGCCGAAACGTGTAGCATTATACTAATGAATATATATTTTAATATTTTAATAGTTTTAATAATATCTTATGCACATAACGACCAGTGTGTGTGGATTGAAGAGCGAATCTGTGTTATTGGTTCTTGCATTACAGACGGAAACATTTGATAGACTAGAATTAGATTTTGCTTGAACACCCAGATCAGTGAGCAGTGCTCAGACCCTGCACGAAACTGACGTACCAATCCGCCACTTGTCATTTCCCAGCGGCTTTCTGTCTCGGTATCTGCCAACAGGACTACACGACGTCACAACCCTGTTGACGGAAACAGCACATTTCTCCGAAACAACTGTGGCAACCTACATGACTACACGATATCACAACCCAGAAGACGGAAGCAGCACATTTCTCCGAAACGTCGGCATCCGTCTACAAGACTACACGATATCAGAACTCCGAAACGTCGGTATCCGGCCACAAGACTGCACGGGCGCTTACCTTTCGACGTGAAGCTGAAAGACCGCAGCCGATAGGACTCCTCGTCCTCGTCCTCGGGGCAGCCCCCCGTGTTGTTGGGCACATCCAGGAAGGCGGTAGATTTTCGGGGCACCGAGCGGCGACTGGACCCCTTCCGCCGCATCCCCGGGCTCGCTTCCGGTGTGGCTATCGTGGGCACGTCTGCGTGCAGTCGCGGCTCGCTAGTTCCCGACCNCCGGGGTTGGGGGGGGGGTGCGGCGCTACTGCTGCGCGCCGTTTGCTCTGTCATAACCTTCTGCTTCTTCTTCTTCTTCTTTAATTTTCTCCTCGTCTCTCCCCCACCGAGGCTGCCCGAGTTCGACCCTAGGATAGGTCACGTGAGATTTATGGTGGAAAAATGTCACTACGTCCGTTTCCCCTGCCAATTCTCATTCTAAGATTTGCTCCACATTCATTAATCATCCCATAACCTGAAGCCGTGTAATCTCCGTTGTGACGGCACCGTGAAGTGACTCGCGTCCTGTTAACGGCGCTGTCGGTAGTTGCGACTCAGTTTGTAGCGTCGAAATGATCCGGGCAGAAGCGGCCTTCACAAAGTTAAAGCAGAAAGTGTTCGTTTCTTCTTTTGCTACTTCCTACCTCTGTCTTCTTTCTTTATTTCCCTCTCTTCGGTCTCTCTTCCTTGGCCGCCTCTGTGATCTAGTGGTCAGAGTTCCTGCCTACAAATCCAGAGGTCCCGGGTTCGATTCCCGGCGCTACCAGATTTTCTGAGAAGTAATGAGTCTGGAACGGAGTCCACTCAGCCTCGTGAGGATAAGTGAAGAGCTACTTGAATGGAAAAGTAGCGGCTCCGGTCTAGAAAACCGAAATTAACGGCCTTGGTGATCCGTTGGGCTGATCACGTGACACCATCTATCCACTAAAATTGGCACTAACTTCGCCTGCAAGCGGCGGTCGCTCAGTCGGTATAGTTCGCTTGCGGACTACAGGCCACGGAGTTTGTTTTCGTTTTTGGTCTCTCTTACTTTGCACTCGCCTTCGTCTTCGTTTCCTTCTGTCCTGCTCCTTATGATACTCACTTTTCTTTCGTGTTCTAGTTTCTTTCTTTGCTTCTTGTCTCCGCTATCTCTCCGTCTTTGTCTTTTCGCTGTTTGTCCTCCTTCCTTACGGTTCAGCCTTCTTCACGTTGTGATACAAGCGCGTGTTGGAGCGCTCTGGCAGTTGCGTCACTGAACGCACCCAAAGGAAAAGACTAAGCAACAGTTTCCTTATCCGCATACACAGTTTGCAGTTATGAACGCGCCTGCTGCGCATGCGTCATTGCTAAGTAATAAAATATTTATAAAGCTGAGCGGGCGCCATAAACACTGACCTCGGACCTTGTCACTGTTGAAGAGGCCCTTGTAGAGGTCATTCAGGTGTGAAATCTGATTAAAGGTCTGAAAGGTCACGACAGCTCGTTACGGGACCCATGAAAAGGCCCTTCTGACGGCTTCCTTTGTCTCACCCACGAATAGCAAAATAAGATTTGAAGATGCCAGTGACTGCACACTGTACCGCAGTTGGTTGAGGCACTATGCTACAAGCCGGAAGGTCGCGGGTTCAAGTCCCGATGAGGTGAATTTTTTCAATTTACCTACTCCTTCCAGCCGTACTATGGCCCTGGGGTCAACTCAGCCTCTAACAGAAGTGAGTACCAGGAATCTTCCTGGGGGTAAAGAACGGCCGGCCGGCGCGTAAGACTGACAACCTCACCGCCATCTGTGAGCCNCATGAATCTTCCTGGGGGCAAAGAGCGGCCGGCCTACTCGTAAGACTGACAACCTCACCGCCATCTGTGAACCGATTGTCTAGAAAATGTGGGAGCCTCGACGTCTCACAACCCTGTGGGCCTAGCACAGGAACATTTACCGGGAGAGACTAAGAAAATCGGGAAAACGCGACGGTGGCTACAGCTGCTCACGATGGTTCCTCGCTCGCGGATTTTTCTACCCTGAAGATGGAGGCGATACGTTCCTCCGAAACATCGGTTTACACAATATCTATAAGACGGCGTTCTTATATATTATGGATTAATAAGTATTATTTATTAATATAATGCCTATCCTGGAACTGGTATGAAAGTTAAAATGCAAGTTACCCCCGTCGTGTTGATACAGTTAATCACCACTGGGCTTTAAAGGGTTGAGCTCAGGGACAATTTTACCTTTACCCGTATGAGATTTGAGGGTGTCACAGCGAAGCGTGTAATGTTCATATCCTCTGTGATGTGGGGCCTCAATATATGCAAAATGTTTCGAGGACAGTGAACACTGAAATGCGATGGACGGGGAAGGATTCTGCAGTGATATAATTTGAGACGCTGTCGCGACAGTTTCCTGGTCGTCCTGAGGACATCCAGGAAACGAGACGGCTGCTGCCCGAATACAAGCGGCAAGCATTTCTGCTCAGTGTGCAGGCAGACACAGTCTATTTGCCGCAGGTTTAGAAATGGCAAACATTTCGTCAAAAGTGACCCTCAGTATGTGTTTTTCATTGGTCTGTTTTGTAATGGGTGCTATTTTAAGACTTTTTTATGGTCAGCCTATTTGACAAAAATATCATCACCCACACACGTTTAATTACCTCCTCCCGATACCAAATTTCACTGAAATCCGTCCAGTAGTTGCATGGCTGAAGTATGCGGAAGAAGTGACAGGGCGCCAACTTCAATAGAAGAAAAAAGGAAAGGCGCCTGAAATGTCACAACGTCACCCACGCTTCCTAAACAACGAACGGAAGAAAACAGATGCTTCTTGGCGTAATTATAGCTCGTGTCCAGAGTCCAACGGAGCACTGACCGAGGGAGTACACAGGAAGATTGCAGACACGGCGTCGCAACTTTGAGAACTCCAGTCACTGCGCAGAATCGTGTCACATTAACACCAAGTCATCAATAGTCATTGCATTCGAATAATTTATTGGAATGCTCGTCAATAGCAGTGGCCTATTACAGCCAAGCACTTGAAGTACACAGTACTAGTAGTAGTATATTACTCGTATTTCTTACTGAAAACCGTCACAACACAAAAATCGATAATGCGTGTAAGTAGCTCTAGGAGATACATTTTTACATGTTTCGGCCTTCAGAAGGCCATCATCAGGCAAATAGATTAAACTTTTTGTTATTGAATTGCGTGTCAAATGTAGGATTACAATACAATGGTATAAAATGATATGCATGAATATAACATATATATCACAATAAAAGTTGAAGTCATAAAATAACCAGTTTCATAGTCAAAAGCTGTATATGTGATGGCATTTGGAAGTTGGCAGTTGTAATCGTAATATACCTAATGCTTATATGGACATATATACACAGTGACTGATGTTGTATGTTATTATTTAATGTTTGATATTATTTGACGGGCAACTCCGTTGTGTAAATGTCCGTTCTGATGGAGATATTACAATTGCAGTAGTGGTGGTGGTAGTAGTAACAGTAGCAGTAGTAGTAGCAACAGTGGTAGTAGTAGTAGCAGTAGTAGTGGTAGTGGTTGTGGTAATAGTAGTAACAACAGTAGTAATGGTGGTGCTAGTAACAGCAGCAGTGGTTGTGGTAGTAGTAGTAGTAGTAGTGGTGGTAGTGGTAAATGTAGCAGCAGTAGTAGCAACGGTAGTAATGGTGGTGGTGGTAGTAACAGCAGTAGTAGTAGTAGCGGTGGTGGTAGTAGTAGCGGTGATGGTAGTAGTAACAGCAACAGTGGTGGTAGTAACAGTAGCAGTAGTGGTGGTGGTGGTTGTGGTAGTAGTAACAGTAGTTGTAGTAGTAGTTCTCGTCCTTGATGTTTCACTTCGCGCCCACTACTCTCGTTATATAAAGGTAAATAAATAAATACATAAGCACAACTAAAGCAAGAGAACGCGTAGGACATGTAGCAGATGAGCGAATATTACAAATTCGGACCTGATCTGCTGTTTATCGCAGTTGCGTTACTGGGCCGACCGCTGTCCCCGGCTTCAGTTCACCAAATTCTGACCCATTTCCTCTTGCATTTGAGTCAGATTTGACAAGAACAAGTCACCCACTGCAGTCCATTCAGTATCGCCATACACTCGTACATGGTGTCCCAACAGCGGCACCTTTCTTTATGTCAGTAGCTCAGATTACATAGTGTCGGATCGGGGGATGGTCGCCGTATAGTGGATCGGAAAGGCTATCACAATAAGCGGTTATATTCTAAGTTGTGCTACTGTCCCGCTGTGTCTTGGGAGTAACTGAAGAGAACCACGAAAGACATTAACTTATTCGGGTAAGGATTAGAAAGAGGTACAATCCGACTACACATACTTCCATCTTGTTCTTCGCTAGCCTTTCTACGAGTAATATGAATTAATCAGCACGAATCTGTAACCACAGAAGCCCCCAACTTGAAGACTGATGATGTGATACTGTGCTGCGTGGTCAGGGCTTTCGCACAGCTCAAGGGGCGCTGATAGGTGGATATGGTAATTAGCATAGGAAAGCGCAGGGAACTCCTGGAGAGCCCCGCACCAATGATGTCTGTCCATTATGAGTGTGGACACGCCGCGTGGGCAAATTACAAAGCTTCTGGTTGTGAATTCAGGCGACAAATATAAGTATGACTGTTCTTTAAATGATTAACATAGGCCCAATTCTTCGCGTTCGTTCTAAAATATGCCTTTATGCTATTGAATGGATGGAGCTAGTCATATCGATTCTGCGTCGCGAAGTACAGCTGCATGTAGTGCCCTGTACACGGTTACTTGCAAGATAATGAGAAGTGAACACGGGGCAGACTGGCAGTACCAGCCCTGGCCTGTGTTGGCTTCCCCTGCAACATAATGGTATGTCTACACGCCTCACACTTCAGTCAGAGAAGTTGCCGTACATGCAAGGGGAAATCCTTCCAAATGTCTGAATATGCAGGTAAGAGATGCATTAATGGCAGTTGTATTCTGTTTGGCGTAACAAGTTTTTCTTTCCAGTAAGTTATTCAACAATGTGTGCAGTATCGAGTCAGATGGTAGGATGATAGGGGAATGATAATGAATTGGAAAGGATTTGGTAGGAAGCGGGTGTGGCCTAATCACTGTACTATCGCAGTCTTCTCCTGGATGAGAGGGCCTCGTGATCAGTAGAACGGTGTTGTTACTAGCATAACGCTAAGTCAGTGATGCAAACCATTCTAGACTGTTTTAGTAAAATTACAAACGCCGGTTATTCG